CACACACACACACACACACACACACACACACACACACACACACACACACACACACACACACACATACACACATTTTTTTTATGTGTTATTCACATTAAGGGATGGCTGTTTTTCCCTCACACACAGAAAAAGAGAAAACACAGGTGGGATCCCAGCAGCATGTCCACACACGAAGACTTTCCAGACACAAACTCTCAAATTTTTCAGTTGATTGATCTTTTTTCTTAAAGGGGACCTGTTATACAAAATTCACTTTTTTACATGTGCTTTAATTTGAGTCTGTACTGCTCCCAGAAACAGTCCAAGCAACCAAAAAAAAAAAAAAACATTTGTTTTTTCTTTTGACAATATATAAATGCTTCTCTTTAGTTATCAGCAAACAAACGTTTTCCAAAACCTGGGGATGGTGACGTCACAATCTCGGTGACTTAGCATTGCTAAGGCGAGCCCAGCCTCTCATCTGGTAACCCAAACGGAGACTCCGCCCCTTTTCTTCAAAGGACGGCTTCATTAGTTCTGCTATTTTTACAACAGTCATGGAGAACAGAGATTTGTAGTTTAATTTAATTTAATTTTTTTTTTTTGATGGCAATGTTCTATCAATATTGACAAAGAAAGTTGTCGTTTGTGTAAATAATTTCACCATGGACTACTTTGGAAAATACTACCAGCAGTTTTTACCCAAGGACTTTCAGCTGAAAGGAAACCTGTCCCTATTGTTCCTCACAAATCTGCAGATGATGGCTGTAAGTGATGTGTTGTTTGGTGCTGCTGCTGCTTCAGTTTGAACACGATTTGTCATCCAGCACAAACTAATGTTGACCGCACTGCCGGGATCGACTACCAAGGAGGCGCACTTCCCCTTTCCCCCTCTGCCTGGGGAAACAGCAATGACGGTCTGTGCTCCTCGCTTTGCCCTTGTGCTGTCTGTGCTGCGGAGCACGGACTGCCTTTCCCCTCCCACCAGTCTGTCTCTCCCGGCACCAGTCTGCCTCTCCAGGCACCAGTCTGCCTCCTCGGGCACCAGTCTGTCACTCTCTCCTGGGGGTGACCTTGACCAGCTCTCGCTTCGTCTTCACCAGCTCCAGAAATCGGCGGAGGATGCGTGTTTGCCTCCCCAGCACCAAAGCGCCTGACTTCAGTTAGACGCTCCAGTCTGAAGTTCTAACATGAACGCCACGTTGGGAGGGCGGAGTTAATGTAAACAAAAGGTTGGGAGGGGGTTGCCAATAACAACTTATGCATAACAGTACATTCTGGAAAGCTAAAGAACAGGCAGAACAGAAAAGGTAAAATTTCATTATCTGAGATTTATTTTGTGAATTAAATCAAATGAACATGTTTTGTATAGCCCACAGATGTATCCTAACTACACAGTAGTGGTGCTGTTTTATCTGTATATAAAACCCTGACCTAATATAAAATTAAGTATTGAAAAGATTTAAACTAATAATAGAAAAAAGCTATTTAAACCATCCTGGTCCTGTATGAAAAAGTAACTTCCCCCAAACCTGAAAACTTGGTGGCAACAACTGCAATCAAGCATTTGCACATTCTCCTTCAAAGTTCTGGTAGAGCAGAATTCATGCTTTCATCAATTATGGCAAATTGTCCTGGTTCTAAAGCAGCAAAACAGTCCCATATCATCACACAGCCATTCCATGTTTGACTGTGTGCATGATTGGGTTAGTGTTGTGCTAGATGTAACGGGATGTAACCTTACAAAAAGTTCAAATTTATCTCATCAGTCCACAAAATCTCTATCTTCTACTGCTTAATCATAGTTGGGTTTCAGAGGCATCAGGTCCAGGAGACATCCCAGACATCCCTTTCCCCAGCAACAATTTCCAGCTCATTTTGAAGACCCCAAAGTGTACATAGACCAGTGGTGGCACAATCCCTCCAGTGAGTTCTGAGTCTTCCCTGAAGCCTCCTACCAGTGAGACATACTCAGAACATCTGCGTCCAGGAGGCATCTTAATCAGATGAACCAACTCAACTGACTCCTGTCGATGTGAAGGAGCAGATGCTCTACCTCAAGCTCTCCCTGGATGAATCTAACCTGCACAGAAAACAAGCTTGACTTTGTAACAAGAATGTGGACAGAGTTCCTACAAGGACTCAATATCCCTATATTTTGAGATATTATATAGACTGGAAAGGCTAACTTCCATGACCCCCTTAGCAACTTTGCAAGGGTAAAGATCTGGTCCACTGTTCCAGGACCAGGACAGAAGCCACACTGCTCCTCCTGAATCTGAGGTTCAACAATCAGCCCAAGCATCCCTTCCAACACCCTGGAGTGAATTTTCCTAGGAAAGGTAAGAAGTGTGATCCCACAATAGTTAGAACATACATTATACAGTTCCACTTTTACAGGAGCTTTTTGACTACCTCAGTGACCTCTGCCATGATAATAGACTTGTCTTCCTTTGGGTCCTCACACTCTGCCTCCTAAAAGGTGAACATGATGAGTGGATTAAGGTGAAAGTGCTCTTTCCACTGTTTGATGATATCCTCAGTTTGGGTCAGCAGTTAGTCACCCAAAACAAACAGCCTGCAACAGAGGCTGCTTTCCTTTTCTGAGTCCCCAAATGGTTTGCTAGAAACTCTTAGAGGCCATGTCCTTCTCCATGGTCTCCCCTGATTCCTCCCATCTCTGAGTTTTTGTAACTGTAACCATCAAATCTGCAGTTCTTCTGCCCACCCTGCACCTGTCAGCTTCTTTAGGAGTCCTCTGAGACAGCCAAGTCCTGAAGGTCTCCTTCAGCTTGATGCCCTCCATCATGGGGTCCTTTGATTTTACAAATCTGGCAGTAATCAGGCCTGTCTGTGTCTAAAGAAAAGGACCCTAGCTGGGCAAAAAAATAAACCAACCACGAAACTCTGAGCTACCACTGCCCACTGACAAGGCACCTACAGTAGCAAATGCAGGATTTAGAGTTCAGAGTGGGGCAAATAAGAGTGGAGGCAGATGCTTCACCTCTCCCACATAAATTTTGATACAACCGTCAGGGGATTTGAACTAAAGGTCATCTGATTACAGGCTCGCCTTCTCTAACCTTTGTGCCACCACTCGTCACCTGCACAACTTCTGTAAACAATTTAAATAACACCCCTACCAGTTTGAGCAACTTTAAGAAATGTAATTGTTTGTATTTTAATGCAATGGGTAACAAAGTGTGGAAACACTAAGGCTTTCTTTTCATACAGTTTCATACTCTAAATACTGTGTAGAAATGTAAACATGTGCTCTTTTTTTTAGGCAGATTCAGAAAACAGAACATACCGGGAGTCGAGGAAGATAAGCTTCATGTCCAGACTGGCTCTGAACATGAACATGTTGCTGTGCAGTTTGATCTCAGTGACGGCGCTAGGTGGCAATGAGTGACCGACAGCCACCAGTCCGATGTTCTGATAGCAGCCGTCAAATGGAGACATGTCTAAGCTGTACTGACGAATCTTCAGGTAGCCACTGCAGTGGATCACCTGGGTCAAGAGTTGACAAACATATTAAAGAAATGAGTTCCAGTAGCCCTTTATTTCATGAGTACAATCATAGCAATTTCATTCAGCTGTTCTATTAAAAATAATCATGATGTGACTCATGAGAATCATATATACATGCATTAAATACATGCAGCTGTGATGACTTTCCACATATAGTTTAGTGAAAAAAATCATTTTGCCGCAGGTTTCATAAGTTGTGACCACAGCCAACAGACGTATGGATTCAACTGTGCTTCTGCTGATGTGTCAAAAAATCATTAATCCCACTTGGAATTCCTTTTACGTTGTTGCTTTAAAACATGAAATTAAATAGCATTTTTAATTTGAATTACATCAATAATTCTCTAAAAATGCTCCAGTTTGATTAAATTAATTGACAAGGGAAAAAGTTTTAAATGATTTTAAAACTAGGGATGCAGTCAGCACTTTGCTTTGAAACCCCAACAATCACCTTCATAAACCACATAATTAGTTAAATAAAATCCACATATGAGAAATTACCTAAACATGTGAAATAATATACAGACAGAGCCTTGATTCTGTAGATAGGTGGCTCTGTCCATTGGTCCACTATAGGCAGCACAGAGCTGGGCTTCATGAAAGAGTGTCAGGAAAAGGATATTAATTAAAAATAAATAAGGCAGACAGCTTGAAAGGTGCTGCGGTTTAAAGAGACTAAACATCAAAGAAAACACCATGTCTAAGGCAAATCTACACCTCTCATCCTACTAGAACACCATCTCTACAGCGAAGCATGTTGGTAGCAGCATGCTGTGATCCATCAACAGCGACTGTGATACCTGGCAAAGTTAAAAGAAACATGGTTGGAGCAAACCAAAGCAAGAGTTGTCTGCATTCTCAGCACAAAGTCAAGCTCGGTCACTGGGCTTGAAAAACTTGGGGTCCATGCTTGGTGTGTGTTCACAGTATGGGAAACAGTGACGTTTAATAGCAAATGGAACAGCTGCTTGATCTGAATCACAGTTTTGCAAAGACCCAAGGCCTGCCCCTACTCTAATTCTGACTGGTAAGTAGGCCTATCTGGTGTGGTTAAGAGTGAAAGCTGTGCCTCTTAGATCCAGAGAAATATCTGTTAAATCTCTGGGCAAACCAACTTTTCTTTTTTTTTGCATAGATACAGCAGAGATCCGGCCCAGCACCATGAGGGCATTGTTACATGGAAATGAGGAAAAACTGAAGCTAAAATCTTGCCTCTGAGTCTGAGGCAAAGGTGGAAAAAGAAGTAGCGTTCTCTCCAGGTCAGGAATGAGTCTCTGCTATGTTCCAGTCTTCAGCTATGGTCATGGATTATGGATCACAACAGGAAAAACAAAATCCTGGATACAAGTGACTGACATCTGATTAGGATATGCCTGCTGAATAGCTATTTTCAGAGGTTTTCTGGGCATGTCCCACTGGGAGGAGACCCAAGGTTAAACCAGAACTCACTCTGTTTGCTGAGCTTAATTAGCTGTGACTATCCCACCACCAAAAACTCTGAAAAAGAGATGCAAATGCAGCAGAAAATATCCACTTGTTAAACTATCTGTACAAATATGGACAAAGAAATCCACTTGTAAAAAAATGAAAAAGAAAAATCTTTGTTAATCTCACTAGATGGCATGGAATAGGTTTGTATAAGTTTGTGGATGATACATCAGATGTGATGTACCATGCACATTTTGCAGAGTTGTTTCTATGCAACGAAGCATTAAAAAGAGCATTCACAAATGTCAACTGTTATTTAAACAAAAACTTACAAATGCTGAGTTTTCTGATAAACTGTCACCCAATGTGCTCCTTCACAGCAATTAAAATCATAGCAAAGTGACAATCACAGGGTATCTACACATTACTTTTTTCAAAATAGAGTAAAATTTCCACAATACCGTCAATTTTGTTTGTCTATGAACAAACATTTTTTGTACCTGTACAGTACAGACCCTAAACAAAAGCTGCATACCAGAAAATGACAAAACAAAACTAGGTAACTGTGTTCCTCAAAGGTTTATGGTCTTTTATCAGTTTCCTTCTACTTACTCATATTCAGATCACAGGGAAACCCAGATATCCCTCTCACCAGCGACACTTTCCAGCTCCTCCCGTGGGATCCCAAGGTGTTCCCAGGCCAGCAAGGGTACAAATCCCTCTAATATGTTCTCATGAGAAGTGCCCAGAAAACCTTCAGAGGGAGGCATCCTAATCAGAGGCTCAAATCACCTCAATTAACTCCAATCAATACAGCGGAGCAATGATTGTACTCAGACATTTTCCCCCAAATGATGGAACTCTGAGCCCCCCCATGAAGAACATAAATTTAGCTGCCTGTAACTTCGATCTCTTCTGTCATAACCAATGCCTAAAACCATAGGCGAGTGTTGAAATTTATATGTACTTGTAAACTGAAAGCTTTACATTTCAACTCAGCTCCTCATTTACCACAATATACCAAAGCAACACCCATCTTCCCCTCCATCCTACCATCACTCACGAATAAGACTCTCATTTACATTAAACTCCACCTGAGGTAAAAGCTCATCTCAACATTTCACCTTTTTCCAATTGAGAACCATGGCCTCAGACTTGGCTGACTCTCATCCCAGTCAGTTCCCATTCAGCTGTAAATTGGTCCAGTGAATGCTGAAGATCAAGGCTCAAAGATATCAACAGAAACATATCATCTGCAAAAAGCAGACAAGACCATGAGATTCCCAAACCAGAAATCCTCTTTTCCATGACCGTGCCTTGAGACCATTTAAATGAACACAACAAACAGGATCAGAGACAAGGAGCAGTCCTGGTAGAGTCCAGACCTCACAGAGAACAACCCTGTCTTTGTGCAGAGAATGTGAACACAGCTCTTGCTTTGGTTACATTGGAACTAGACAGGCTTTAACGGTGATCCCCGCACCGCATATTGTACTTCCACAGTGGTGTGCCTCAGGGAGAACAGTCAAAAGCCTTCTCCAAATCTACAAAGCACATGTAGACTGAAGAGACAAACTGAGCCCCTTAGCAATGATGCAAGTGTAAAGATTTGATACACTGTTTCATGGCAAGGATGAGTTGGCCTAAGTTAGTTTCGTACCAAGGGCACTTACAAACCAACCTATGCTCAAAAGTGGTGTTCATTATGGACAACCCATGCGTATCACAGAAGTCCAATAAAAGAACACCACCCAGAAACAAATCAGGAAGTCAGTTCCTCCCAGTCAGTCCTCCATAGATGACTCCACTATTGTCCTCATGGACTCTGAAGTCCTCCAGGGGAACAACAGTATCCCCAGATGGTACCCCTTCCAGGACACCATCCAGAGACTCCAAGTAGGCCAGGTAATCTGAACTGCATCAGCTCAAACAATAGTCCTGTCCAAACTTTCCCTTTTGCAGCTCAAAGCCACAGAGTAGCAACCCTCTCGTCCCACATGAAAAACTGTAACACTGAGGCACTTAACTGGAGGCTTGTATCTCCACACCAAACCAATCCCCCTCTTACTGTACAACTCCAGGGTAGAAATGAGTCCAGCTGCAGGAGTTGGTATCTGGGGCCAAAGCTGTGCCAGTGGCTATTGCACAACCTCCCACTCAAGCTCTGGCTCACTAGTCAGTGAAGTGACATTCCACATCCCTAGTGGTAGTTAAGGAGTCAGCAAACCAAAGGCTTCTCCCTCGCCTGCTGCCTGATCCACATGGCACCTGACCTCAAAACGTTTACTTGCAGATGGTGGGCCTATGGGGAGAGGGACTCCTGTCTTATTTAAGTTTGGCCCATCCCAGGCTTCTGCAGCGTTTTAAAACCTAGTTTTGTAAAACTATCTTCTTTTTTAAAATCAAATGGAAAAATTAAAATAAGATTATTTTAAGGAAAGACTAAGCAGTGCTGAATCTGAGCAACATGGTCTGCATGTATACATCATTTAAGCTTAACTTAGTTTATAAAGAGTTTTACAATTAAAAAAAATCTGTAACATAGGATCACTTTGTTTGGATCAGCTTCATCCCAGGGGCCTCATATACAAAGAGTGCATAAGATCAAAAATATGACATGTAAAAGTTTAGATGTATTAGGTATGAACTGATGATGGAAAATAAACATGCCCCATGTGACATTTATATAAATGCACTATTTCATATGTTTGGATTTGTTTGCTTATGCTTTTTCTTGGTTAAAGAATACATCATGTTTCAGTAGAAAATGTACACAAGTTTTTGCACATGAGGCCCATGGTCCAGGATAGAAA